AACCTTCAATGTATTGACATGACATCCAAATGCGGCTACTAATATATGAATATATGTGCTGTAAATGATGTTTTTACAGGTGTCAGAGCAATTGGCTTGAAATATGTTCCATGTTATGTTAATAATAATTTGAGACACTTGTAAGAACCTGCTGGGGTCATAAGGCTTCCATTCTTCCAATTTTTTTTATAAACAACTTGAAGCACTTTTAACTCCAAAATTACAATCAAGACAAGATTGTGTGAGACCATTATATACTGCTCAGATGTGTTTCTACTGTGAAAACACTCTGATAACACTTTAAGTTTCAATAAATTCGTATAATGTTATGACCATTAAGTAAGTAATAACGTCAATTAAAAAATAATTTATCTAGTTTCAAGCTACTTTGTGTTTTCAAACCTGTAGCCTTTATAGAACTGAGATAACATTTGACAATTTCTACCTGAATGGCACATTATACAACACGTGGGCTAAATGGCCAAGTCAGAGATCCTAAGATTTAGGCATAGCTATCTCTAATTTAGAACTGTTGACCAAAGAGATAGCACCTGCCACCTGCATGGCTACTCTTACCGAATAGTAGGATTGGCCTGCACTTGTATAGCCTGCCAACAGCTGAAAGTGTGGGGCATGTTTAATTAATTATTTGAGGCTTAAACCATGTTCAGTGGATTATTGCAGGCTCAAACCTTTAACTTATCGATCTGCAGGATCCTGCAGATGAATTTCAGAAACCTAAAATTACATTCAAAAATTAAAGTCTTCACTTGTTGCATTATAGATATAGCTGGTTATAACATTTTGTCGGTTAAGATTTAAGAAAACTTTTTTTTCTTATCTATTTGCTAGACGAATGCTACATTAGTCTACTTCAAAATCGATTAAGTTTGTTTGTAGTTAAACACAAAGCAACACAATGGGCTATCTGTGCTCTGCCCACCACGGGTATAGAAAATCGATTAAGAGAAAATGTTCCAATAAATATCACCTTAAAATCATCTCATAGTATTTGTGTAAAATGTTTTCTTTCTGTTTAACAATTCATTGAATGATTAATTAGAATTCTGGTATATTAGATAAATAGTTCGTTTTCTGTTTCCGTTAGATGCTGTGATAGCTTAAAGGCAAACAAAAGAAATACATACATACACACACACACACGTGTGGAATGGGATTTATCTTTCAAATATAGTAATAAATCGGAAGGAGTAGTAAGGACGTTAACAAGGGGTTTGAGGTTATGAGCTTGTACTCAGGGTGGTTAATCACCCTATAAAAAATATTGTTCCAGATTTTGAGTCGTCCTTAAAAATACTTCCACCACCATCAACTATGGCCAATTTCATGATCATTATCACGCACTAGTACCCAACTTTGTAGTCACCAAAGTCAATCTTAGACTACATATTTTGGCAAATCCTCTACTGTGTGTGTGAATGCTAGATTAAAATATTACGTTTTAACAAACAAAAGGCACAAAAATCCCTTGGAAGTGCAATGGAAGACTTAACAAGTATATGGTTGAATGAAATTACTGTGATTCCGGTTTTGTTTTGGCTTTTTTGTGTAAACAGCTGGTGATGACGAGTTATTGCTGGAAGCTTGCGAGATCTTGGGATGTGGGCTTTTGTCATAATAATAATATATTATTATTTAATATATTTAAAATGTATGAGATTAGTTTGCCTAATTTGTGCCATCATTGGCAGAAAGGTCGGTGCTCCGAATCCTTACGTTTCAGATGGATATGTGTAATTTTGTGGTCGTAGAAACCTTAACAAAAGAAGAAAACTTCAATTGTATAAGATCCTTACAAAATTAACATTGTAGACTGTATTTTGTCATTATTGACTGCTGTATTGATAACCATCTATTGTTTGCACGTCTAGTAGGCTACTGTATAGACCTATGTTTCTGTTCATAATGAATGAACATCCAACCTACACTTCCTTCGGAAGAACTGCTTTATTCTATGATTATTAAAATATATGATTTGTTTTGCTACGAATTTTTAATGTTGGCAGCTTGATTCCCCACGCTGGAATATTATTTAATTGAGAGTTTGTGCCCTCATTCCTCTGAAGCAGAGAGAGAGAGGACATTTCTGATGGTACCAAAGTTCGTTTGAATGAAGTAGCTGGAAAAATTGATTTCATTGCACTTTTTCAATTACGAATTGCAGGCATGTTGAAAGCAATGGATTGTACATCCAATAACTGAACGGGTTGAAAAAAGAACGTCATACTTTTTCAAAGTGGCAGCAGATCGAGAGTGTGATTCTTTTAGAAACAGCTTATACTGTTCTATGGGAACCAAGAAATGCAGCCAATGTACATTCATGTTGGCTGTCCCCTCTCTTCTACAGTAAATGTACTCCTATGGTTTGGCTCTTTTCATCTACAGTAAATGTACTCCTATGGTTTGGCTCCTTGTATCCACAGTAAATGTACTCATGTGGTTTGGTTCCTTGTATCCACAGTAAATGTACTCATGTGGTTTGGCTCCTCTTCTACAGTGAATTTACTCTTATGGTTTGGCTCCTTTCTTCTACATTGAATGTACGCCTATGAGTTGGCTCCTTTCTTCTACATTAAATGTACTCCTATGAGTTGGCTCCTTTCTTCTACATTGAATGCACTCCTATGGTTTGGTTCCTTTCTTCTACTGTGAATATACTCATATGGTTTGGCTCATTTCTTCTACAGTGAGTGTGCTCGTATGGTTTGGCTCCGATACTTTCAGGAGCGTTTTTTTTTATTTATACAGAAATTTTATGCATTAAATAGAATAGTACGTGTTTTTACGTTTGCGAGTAATAAAATACACTCGAGTTTATAGTTCTGTTAGAAATAAACATTGAATATCCCACAATGGAACTTTAAGATATCATCCTTCAAAGTTTACATTTAGTTTATCAGTGATGCCTCAAGAGGGTAAGAAGGGAAAACATATCTCTGACAGACAAATATTTTCTCTATTATGATTTTTTGACAAATTGTAAATAGTTTTACAGTTGAATTTATTTTACTATAAAAATATCGTATCGATCCTGCTGGTTACAGTCGGGCACGAAAAAGTAACTAGCTACATCAAGCCTAAGTTGTACTTGGTCAATTTTCTGTTCAAACTACTAATTCGTACGTTTTCATTAAGAGAATCTTAACTTTTTCCAGTAGGTGTCCTTTAGTGCTTTCACCTCATATGCATCGAATCTTCACCTAAGTGTAACTGTTTAGATTTAAGTTTATTTTTTAAGACTCGTTTATGCGAAATCATAGTACTAAAACTGCATCCTTACCAAGTAGAAGTACCTCTACTAATGAAGTAGTTAATACATGAGGTCAAACCAGTTCTACGCCTGTTTGGTAGTTGTACTATCACCGTTCTGTTACTCGTTCTATTTAGGGGAAAATGATGTATGAATGGAAAACATAAGCCCGCCGGCTTCTGAGTTTTTTTGTGTTCCTAGAAAGGATACAATGAATGATAATGTTGATCAAATAGTCAGTCCTTCTTAAGAGTTCTTGGAGGTATCTAATATTTATGTAAGATTATTGATGAATGAGACTCTGATCTGAATTATATCAGTTCGAAATTAAGCACAGCCAAACAAACGCAAGGATTTCATGCCAAGCTCCACAACATACTTAGCTGATAGAGGTTTCAGACCTATATCGTGATTTATTACAGTATTGTGAATTTACATAGCTTGCGGTTACAAAAGAAAATAACAAAATATACTGCTTTGAAAATTGGATGTTTCTTATTTCATTGCTTAATCTTCTTTTTAGAAACTACTTTTTGAGATTTATTGATGTACTTGGTATATGATGTTTCCATACCCGAGTTGTTGTTTTTTTTGTCAGTCTAAAATTTTTGATTTGGTTTATGTGCTGTTAAAATATAATGTGTAATAACAAATTTTGAAAAATATAATGAATAGTTCATCAGTAAAGACAATTCTTTAATTTTATTTTTATAATTACTGATTTTAGCGAATAGCTTTACGGTTTATCCATGATGTGTTTTTATGTTTTTTATCCTGTTCTTTGCCATAAAAATGCCAGGACCATATACAAGAAACTAATCATCCATTTCTTTAAATGATAGCTAGAGGCAAGGCAATTTCACAGTTTCTTTCTTTTTCTTTCACTAACTGATGTTAGCATTTCTTCTTTCTTACAGGATTTATGACCAAAGGAACCCCACCAGGTGGCGCCCCCCGCTGGGCAGACTTGCTACGAAATTCGTTAGAAAAGCTTTACCACGAAGCAGACCGCACCCCTAAAGTCCTTTTCATCCATACATATAGTTAAATTAAATCTCTATGTTTTATGTTGACGTTATTAACCTTAGGAAATTTTCAACAGGAGGTCGTAAAAACTTTTTTTAACTTATTGAAAAACTGACCAAGTCACAAAACGTCTATCAGAAGAGTAGCATTTCATTGTAAAATGGGTTTGAAATATATCGTTTTTTAACTCCAGAAAAAGTAAAACAGAACTAAGAAGAAAATTTCCATACCATAAAAACAAAACCTCAAGTATATGACACAACGATTGATCGAGTGACGTTTTACTAGGGCTTGTTTTGAAAGATTTGTTGCAAGAAATTATATATGTGTATAAAAAAAACTGTAAGGAGTGTATAACGGTTGATTGCAGCAAATAAGATTTTAACTTTGAAATATTTATATCCTTAAAGACAATGCAAAAATTTCTTGATTATATATTTTTAGGGTCATTTTTTATTTTATTTGCCCTCTATTGGACTCTAAAACTTGCGCTGGTCTTAGAAGACCGACGACAAAAAGGAATTCGAGTTCGTAGGTGGAAGTTTGGGTATCGAGCTGAGTTGAGAGAGCAGCAAACTCCTCCTTCTTCTTCCAGTAGAGTCCAGACCGAGACTAAAGAGCCAAGAGGATGCAAACTACACATTGTCTGCCCACACCACCGTCGTTGGCCGCTACAAGGGATTCTGAAGATCTCCTGTGGTATTATCGGATTTACAGGAGAAATATGTACTGCCTTTCCAAAGGGAGTATTCAAATATGTAGAAGATATTCAACTGGCTTCAGTGTATGTCATGTTTATTTTATCGGGAGTAGTAGATATTTTACATAATTTAAATATTCTATTTCCCAAAGGAACCAGTAACTTTGTGCTCGCTCTCACATTTGGTGTCGAAACGTTACAGTTCCTAGATACAGAGAACAAAACACACCTAGAAAAGGAGATGCAGAACCTGTTGATCTGGACTGTATTGATGTGTGTTTTTTCCACCCTTGCAGAAATGCGTTTTTCTTCCAACCTTCCCTTAAAATTTGTACGGTCTTATTTCATTTTACTGCAAGGATTCTGGCTGCTTCAAATGGGATTCTTACACGGCGGTATAGTTTCTAATATTCCTGGTTTGTCTCAGTTCATTTCGAATATAAATACATCTGGTTTGGTTCTCTCATGGGTATCGTTGATCCTTTCCTGGCATGTGGTAGGCACATTTGTATTAATGTCCATTCTTGCCGCTGTGGCTGTGCTTATCAAACGCAAAAGCAAGTGCTGCTGGCGCTCTACTAGTACGTGGGGTAATGGTGGATCTGAAGAAGTAGAAGCGACTCCTAGTGTTCCAGATGATTGGGAAGAAAGAGAACCACTTCATCCCTGATTACTAATAAAAAAATAATGGAATTTAAAAATATATTGCGATTGTTACAGTTTTTAAATGTTAAGTATTTTTAAAGCTTATCTAACTACTTCGAAGGTTTGAGGTAAACTGGTAAACTTTACCTTAAAAAATTTGCTAACCTGAGCGTGATATATCTGGTTTATTTTAAGTCTGCACTATAGAGGATTATCTTAATTAATTCCACACTGGTTTATTTCTTGGACATTGGATTTAATCCTTTTTGCCTTTCGAGTGTTTGAGGAGCGTCAAACACTCAAACAATAACTAACCACGCAGTCGTCATTAAATCACTCTCGCTTCCTTGCAGTGTGTTAACATGGTGTTTTACGTACCGTCAGAGTGAAATGTTGAAATTTGTATTCGTTTCCAAAATGTGATAACAAACAATGACTTTTTAGCAGAATCCTCAATAAATATGTACTAGCTTAATCAACCTTGAAGCTTTATATATTTTTATTAAATATCTTAAGCTTTCCGTTTCATTTATAATGTTTAACTGAGATAATCAAGAATTAGTCTTGATGTTTATGCCGTATAAAATATATGTCCAGAAGTGTAATGATTTTCTTTGGGATCAAAATTTGGATAAATACCTATATGTGTCATTTGCAGCCTGAAATGCACTTGATGGGCTAAATGGCCAGGCCAGTGATTCCAAAATTCAGGCTTATTCGTGCCTAATTTATAAATGCGGGCTACAGGGAGAGCACCTTACCAGAAGTACCCGACATCTACACGATTTCTCTCAACCGAATAGCAGGATTGACTGTTAATCTTAAAACGTGCCCACAACTAAAAGTTTAAAGCGTGCTCAGAGGCATATTGCGGGCTCGAACTCTAGACCTTATGATCTGCAGCTGAACATGCTGAACAGTTGGCCACGCCCAATCCACATGCTTTTATTCACGTTGAATTCCTTACTCTGTCATTGTATCATTGCTGAACGTTAAGGAAATGATAATGATACCCATTATACAGACAGTATTTTGAAACGGCATTTGATCTTAAAAATCATTGTTAAACAGTATAACAAGAAAAAAGGAAATAAAAAAATTCGGTAAGTCTTAAAACATCGCTTAAATGATCTATTCTTATGCACACTCCTTGGTAGTATTTCACTGAAAAAATAATTTGATGTCGTTAACCTTTAAGTAGAACTAGCACTCCGATTTTTATTTGATGTGTAAGATGTAAGTGAGACTATATAAATACAGCAAACATATATATAAGATATCTACAACAACTGTAACGATAACAACTTGCACATCAATACACTGAAAAGAATATTCATATAATAAACCTGCGTTTTAAGAAGCAAAAAAAGAAAAAAAGATGTTCCAGATGGAGAAACCGCGAAAATAATGTTTTAGAGGGGTATAACAGCGTTGAAGACACTCCATATGTTCAGCTACCCACCAAATCGCAGGGATAAACCAATATACAAACAACAGAGGATGAAATAAGGGGCGTAACTCAAGCCCATTATGTCAGAAGTCCAACTACATATTCACCGTCCGCGGCTAGATACGAATATGATAGTTACTCTTTACTCCTTAAAACCAATTCTATATTATTACAGTAATTGTAATAAATTAAATTACCACAATTAGTCAAAATACTGATGTAATATTACTGTACAAATACTGCTGATTGTAAGAAACTATACCAACCTCCGATGTAACTATCTTGGACTAGGGGTAAAGAGAGAATGGGGGAGTTTATATTGTAGTGCAGACTTGTTGAGTTTTTGCTATGTACTAAAAATAACTAAGTGCGTGTCTGCGAACAAACGTGTTTCTTTTGTCCATATTAAAACATAACGGCGAAACGTTGACTTAAACTATTTATGTGGAGTAATGTATATATATAGTGTGTGTGTATGCGTGGGAGTGTTGATTAAATATCGTGTCATAAAGGTCTTAAATATTAGTTGAAACAAAACGGAAAATTGTATCAAATACCCCCCACCCCTCCAGGTAGGCAAGCATTTTAACAAATGTAAAAAAAATATATAGCATTTGTTAAATAATTAAGAATTTGAATAATTAAGGAAAAACTGGTAAGAATGAACCGATTTATCCACGGGATTCGGTTGTGTTGATAATAAGCTGTGATATTTGTTGTTGTTTGAATTGGACTTTTTGGAAGCTAAGGAATAAGAAGTTATAATTAAGCTTAACAACGTTACATTATTGAATCGTTTTCACTCGATTGTTCAAAGTTTTTCATTAACGTCATTTTTGTTTCTTTAGTATCACCACTCAAAAGTAAATGTATGCAATAATAATAATAAAATATGACACTCCCCAGTGGATCTGCGATAAGTGTTAAATCTTATAACGCCAAAATTCAGGATTTCATTCCTGCGGTTGGCACAGCACAGATAGAAATTGTTCATCTTCGTAGATAGCAACAAACAAAGCAAAAACAATATATAAAGTAAAAACAAAGCGCATGCTCACATATTTCTATACACCCTTTCAATTAGAAGTTATTATTGATGATAGTTAGTAGTGTAGTTTCCTTCTGTTGACGCCGAGGTCGCTTGACCAGCTCCAGGATCAAGAAAACTAGCTTCCTGATTCTTCAGTTATTTTAAATACTGGACAGGTTAATTAAAAAACAATATACGGTGAAATAATAAATAAATAATACAATGATAAAAATCCTTACCATAATTCTGATGTGTTTTAATACAAAGATAATATGAAAACACATTACACTTCCCGTACTTAATCAATTTCACACAATAACATTTGTTGTCAAGTTGCTATGAAAATACATTGTTCTTTACTTTCACTCATAACGTCTTATTAATAATAATGTTTAGAGAAGCTTTTGCAACCATCTTGTTTCAAATTCTCAATATGTTTAACATAGTCTTTAAAATATTATGCTAATAAGATGTGGATACGTTTTTATAATACCGAGTCGTATAATACATGTTAAAACAAGATGATTTATGTAAGTGATTATTTTGAAGATTATACCAATGATTGGTTTTGTTTGGTTGCCTATAGCTTTTTTATGTAGTAATTCTCGCATTCTTATATGTTAAATCTTATGTCTTCAATTTATAGGATTGTATAACAGTGTAACTGTAAATAAGGGTATTCTAACTGTATTGGTTCCACCCTTAATATATACAAGAGAGAGATGTCACATGGAAAATGAGATTATCTGTATTCTAAGATAAATAAATAAAAATAATATTTTTTGAAATATCTGCTGTTTCCTTACTTTATGTACTGTAGTTTTTCATGAAATTGAGGGAATCTAATTCTATTAATTAAAAATATAAATTGGACAACAATGATAAGCAATAGATATAGTAAATATATTCAAAGCAATTACGTTATCCAACATTATAATCGCAGTGAAGTATATAAAACAGATGCAAATAATTTCACAGCCAGAGTCTGTAAAAACACATGCTTGAGAAATTGGATGTTAAATAACTCTCTTAATAATCTACTCAAATTATTCCACAACTTGCCTGCTAATTTGATGATTTATTATACACGAATAACGTGTGGGAAACGAAGTGGCCGACAATGGAATGCTTGATACAAATAGAACTTTCAATTTTTGAATCAATGAAAGTTATTGGTTGTTTGTTTTCGCTACGCAAGGGCTGTCCGTGATAGCCATCCATAATTGTAAACTGACATAGACTAGAAGGAAGGCAATTCGTCACAGTACCTACCGCCAATTCTGGGGCTACTCTTGTCTGACTGAATAATTGGGTTTGACCTTTATCTTTATAACTCACATACGACCCCAAAGTACAGAGTGATTTATTGAAATGCTTGAAAATTAGAATAACTCAAGCTTCGCCAGTTAAAAGTAAACATCTAAATAATTAAATTTTTAGAAACTTCTGAACAAATATAATTAAACTAACTAAAAGCCCCCCAGTGGCACAGTGGTATGTCTGCGGACTTACAACGCTAGAATCCGGGTTTCGATACCCGTGGTGGGCAGAGCACAGATAGCCAGTTGTGATTATTTGGATACAGTTTTATGATATCGAATCATAACATTTCTTAAAGTGTCAAAGTCCCCTGAAAGCGACTTAAAAACACACTTTAAATTCTAGATACGTTTTAATATTTATGATTGATAATCAAATATATATATATATATTAAACAATAAAAACAATAGTATGATTGTAAAATGCTAAAAAAAGTGCAGCAAAATCTAATTCTAGTATTGACATAGTTTCATGATGTAGAGGCTGACAAATCAAATTCCCAAATAACGTTATGGATAAAAATCCCAATGAAATTAAATATATTTTAAACACTTTACATGCAACTGAACCAATTATCATTACACACCTTTTTAATTCAATTGTACGCTACGACAGTTTATTAACTCCTCGTTACCCTATAAATGGTTTTATACGGCATACTGTCCCACATATTTTCTTCAGTATTTCTATCTCATACACCACATACTTCTCCTCGATGCTGTGAGCTCGAGGACTTGTCACAATAAATTCGGAATTTGATTCCTGTGGTAAGCACATCGGAGGTAGCCAGCCCATTGTGCAGCTTTGTGTCTTAAACAAAACGGACTCCTATACTTTAAACATTGAAAGCTACATATTCTCCCGTATTCAATATGATACCCTACTTCATATATTTTGATAAATAATTTTAAAAAACTCTGCCCCGTAAACGTTTTCCTAATTATTTATAACTACACTCTATACCTTATCTACTCATAAATAACCAAAACTACAAAATGTTTTATCTCGAAATTAGTTAAACAATATGTCGCTGATATCTGTCATATAGTAGGTAAAAGTTTAAGGAAAGCTATTTTTATTGTCTATTTTAGTTTTTTCTTTTTTACACAAACTATATTTTAGAACTGTGCGATAAGAACATTCCAAAACTACAGACCTCGTTTTTTTATAACTACTTAAACTTTATTCAACCCAGGAGATGGTACGTAATAAAAGTATCGAAACCACTTACTGTTTTATTTCATCACATATCAATAACGGTGTGACAATTCAATTCAGTTACGTGTAATGTTCAGTCTCTTATATATTAGGTCGCCATGAAATTAATGTCACGTTTTGGAACACTTTCATTAACCCCCCCCCCCGAAAAAAAACGTACATCACGTATAATAGTTAAACGAACCGCCTAAACGTCACTTTAGTGTAGCCTATATAATGTGTAAAGTTTAGTATACTCTAATACCTTACAGTGATGGCACACGACGAGACACATATTTGGCATGTAATACTATTTTGAATACAAGAAGGGAAACAACGGCCTCTGTAGCCACAAAGAATATCAAAGAAGTTTATGGAAATGTTTTGAAAGTTCGTAAGTGTCAAC